GCTGAATTTTAACTGCTGTACCAAACAGGCCCTTAATAACATCGATTCTCTTTCTCTGTGATTTTATGGTAACATTGTTCTGCCCGCTAAGATTATTGGATTCTTGAATTATAGTTATAGGGCAACATTCTAGGTTTATTCTAGGGACAACAGAATTCGTGAACGCGGGTTTTTTTCTTTTTTTTTTTAAATAGTGTGGTGGTAATTAAGTTGCTTGACATCTATTATTTTGCTAAAGTCAGGTGCTATATAAATCCAGAATCATGCGATGTTGTTTGTGAAATCAGATGGAATGTTGTTTGTGTTACTTTATAAATAAAGTTTATTGAGTTTCTGGGTTTTGGTTGCAGGGGTATGGTGTTGTTCTTGTCAACACTGATGTTGCTGGTACCTTATTTGTTACTAACTTTCGTCTTCTCTTTCTGGTAAGTGATTCATGCAATTTAGAATTTTGTTTTGTGAAATTAAGCGTGGGAATTTCTTTATTGCATCTTGCATTGTTAAACCTATTATCAACTTATGTTTAGTGCATTATTTGGCTACTATGTGTCACAGTTTTGTAAACATGTATCATGGCAGAAAGAAAGTATTCCAATTTCTTGAACTTGAAACAAATTACTGAGAATATGCATGCATGTTGTTGTCTGACTTCATTATTTTATTTTGTGGCATTTTGCTTAGCTAGAGTGACATCTGTTATTGTAAAATCTTACTTTTATATGTGTATTATACTTATGTTTATGTATTGTACTAACACCCCATCACCTGGTTTTACAAGAGTGAAGGAACCAGAAATGTTATTCAGCTCGGTACTATTCCACTGGGCACCATTGAGAAGTTTAACAAAATGGTGAGTTTTTGTTGGGCTACAGTCTAAAGAAGATTACTTTTTCATCAGTGGTGTTGCCAGAATTTATATTTGGATGCATATGAGCTGGGCATTAGCTTAACCTTAAATTGGTTGCCTTATCTAAGTATCTGTTTAGCTAAATTGTTCATTTTGAGTGTGGAGAGAATGTTTTTATTTCACGCTTTGAGGGGCATATTTGTAGGTAGTGAAGATTCAATCAGCTCCTCGTCAGACTGATAAAACTTCATCACGACGACTTCTCCAGGTCATTGGTATGCTGCTTACTTTAGTATCCTCCCCCCCAAATTTTATTGATGTAGCTGTCATAGTCAGGGGAAATTTTCAATAATTTTTTTTCATTGTTTCCTCTCATTTTGAGGGGATGGCTTGGGGGATGAAAACCACAAGATTTCACTCATTTCCAGTTAACATTGACAACTCATTGTTACTGACTTTACTGTTCCAATGATACCGTATGGTTCTCTTAACACATCACATGTGCTACTACTTTTATTTGCTGTATAAACTGTTCTTTCACTTTACTTTTTTCATTGTTATTGTAATGCATGTTGATTTCTTGACTCTTTTTTTCTTTTTTTTTTTGATAAAAGATTTCTTGACTTGATTGATCTTTTCTTTTTCTTTTTCTTTTTCTTTTTTTTATTTTATTTTTCATTTATTATTATTATTCTTATTTTTATGGTCACCATGGGTAATATTGTTTGGCAGGCAAGGATATGAGAATTATAGTATTTGGATTTCGCCCTCGGACAAAGCAGGTGATCAGTTTTAACTGCTAATGCTCTTGGCCCTTGTTTGTATTATTGATCTAGTTAAAAAATGCATGCAAAAGAAATTAATCTGGGGATTTCGTACAGAGACGTGCCATCTTTGATGCTTTAGTGCGGTGTACAAAGCCAGAAAGAATATGGGATCTCTATGCTTTTACATGTGGACCTTCCAAATACAGTAACACTAACCCAAAGGTCCGATTATTGAACGAGTATTTCCGTTTACTCAGAAGAGGCTCCTATCATGCATCAATGAGTATGATTGAAGACCATACATTTACGTTTTCTAATGATTTGTGGAGAATAAGTGATGTAAATTCCAACTATACAATGTGCCAAAGTTATCCCTTTGCATTGGTTATTCCAAAAGGCATTAGGTAAGATGTGAAGATCCTTTAAGCCGGTTAAAGGAGAAACGAAAAAGAGATTAGATGCCATCTTTTATTTTCTTCTCCATTAATGATAATGTTTATTCCCCATCGATGCTATATAGATTATTAACCATTAACTTTTCATTGTCATGCCAGTGATGAAGAAGTACTCCAGGCTTCCACCTTTCGTGCAAGAGGTCGTATACCTGTAGTCTCATGGTGTCATCCAGGTATACAGTAAATTTATGTGTTTTCATTTATCACTAATGTAGGATTCCATACTTATATTTGTTGTAAACAATAGGAACTGGAGCAGTTCTTGCACGCTCGTCCCAACCTTTAGTTGGTCTCATGATGAATATGAGGAGGTACTTTTGAGTTTGCATTTTAGTTCCTTGATAAATGTATGTAATTATTTTGACAAAGAAATGTTCAACAAAACAATGGAATAATAACCATGGCTAATATTTATAGCATTTTTTTTTTTCAAGGCTTGGTAGTGAACCATCGAAAACTTTCTTTTTTCCCAATTTTTTTTTGCAGCAATGCTGACGAAAAGCTTGTTGCTGCACTTTGCACTCAACTTGTTGGGGGAAAGCAGCCGAGGTGCTCTTTTTTGTTCTCCTGTTATTTAATTTTAGTGAACCTTTTTAATGTGTCTCCCACATTTGTAATTAACCTTTTTCTCCCTTTAATCAATCTCAATGAGAAAACTAAGTTAGGAGTAGAAAATGTTTCTCCTGCTACTTGCAAGTTAAATGGGAACACTGTTAATAACAACACATGTTTTCTTTAATTTATATTAGCATGATTTGTTTTTGTTTTCCTGTTATATAATTGTTTTATTGGCTTGTTTCTTTTATGCTGTGATTCAGTAGGAAAAAAGTGCTCCTACTCTTCTTTATGCAACAATTTTGATTTTCCAATTTAGGAAACTATATATTGCTGATGCAAGACCAAGGAAAAATGCTTTAGCTAATGGTGCTATGGGAGGTGGCTCAGAGTCTTCTTCAAATTATTTTCAATCTGAGGTCTGTCTGAGGTTTGAGCTGATCAGTTGTGCATCTCTGGCCCATGAGCTTTGACATACCTTGTTCACTAATTCACATATCTTTTATCCCATCTGTCATTAGATAGTTTTCTTTGGGATAGACAACATACATGCAATGAGAGAGAGCTTTACTCGGCTTAGAGACTACTTAGATACTCATGGTGCTGCATCATCAGATGGAATGTCATCATTTTTGGTCAGTAACAGCAAGTTATTCTTTGCTTATCTTGATGTTTTATGTGCCTAATGCACTGGTGTCCATAGGCAGCTTGCCACTCAAATAATTATGGGCCCCAATTTGTTTGCCTTAGTTAAGACATGGGATGTTAAACTACATTCTAGCCTTTGCTTCATCTTGTCGGGAATGGCTCTATTCTAATGTGTATAATATGTTTTGTTTCTTTATTGTTCTATGGCTTTTTGTTCTTGAATTAACTGGTTCTTTTTGACAGTTTCTCATTGTTTATAAGCTATCATACATTTTTATGGCCTTTAATATTTTGTATTACAACAATATGAGTCAACAAGAGTTCAACTATTGGAGTTTTCTGAAGACACATTTACTAAAGTGATGGCATGTTTTGGGATTTTAATTGACAGAGACATGGTGGTTGGACTTGGGGTGGGGGCAATCTCAGCAGCATGTCTGCTTCAGTGTCAACCCTTGGGGATAGTGGTTGGTTGATACATGTTCAAAGTGTATTGGCTGGTTCAGCTTGGATTGCAGCACGCATTGCTAAAGAATCAGCATCAGTGCTTGTGCATTGCAGGTTAGGGCTTGTTTAATATTATTCTTCATGACTCCATCTTTATTAAATATTCACCTTGTTTACCTAAGAGGTCTTTTGTGGTGTACCTGAACATAGACTAATTGTGTGCATAATCCTTTCTTAACTTTCATGGTAATTATTTAAAAAAAAAAAAAAAACTAATTGTGCACATAATCATGTTATTTATCTTTTAAAAACAAAATTCATTTCATGTTACTTCTTCTTCTTCTTCTTCTTCTTCTTCTTCTTCTTCTTTTTTAGTTGACAGTAACCTTTTAGTTATGCATTTGTTATTCATTACTTAATTTCCTCTCTATGGACAAGAATAAGATACTCACCCTTATTGATTACCCGTCTTTATTTTTGCGTTACTAACATGTGCATCAACTGTTTTCTTCTATAGTGATGGATGGGATAGAACAAGTCAGTTGGTTTCACTAGCAAACCTGTTGCTCGACCCATACTATCGAACATTTGCAGGTTTTCAGGTGTACATTGAGCAACTGTTGTCATTGTCTTCATTTTTTTGTGCTTGGTTCTTACCGTATGGCAGTAGCCTATAGCTGTGAGGAAGTTTAGAGATGACAGGAGTCCACCCGTTTGTTGTGTATTTGGCTTTTTCATTCTTTCCATTTCCTTTGTTCGCCTATCTTTTTTCATGCTTGCTGTGCCTAATTAGGCAAACATTCCCACTCATCAAGGTCTCTTAGCCTCTGCACTATTTTATTTTATTGCAGGCTCTTGTTGAAAAAGATTGGCAAGCATTTGGTCATCCTTTTTCAGATCGTGTCGGAATGCCAACTATATCTGGAGCAGCTGGCAACATGCCTTTTGAATTAACAAGACATGCTTCCACTGGAAGTTTATCATCATCACCCATGCGCCAGTCACAAGGATCATCTCAGGCTCCTAATCCCTCTCATGCGCAGAGCAACTATTCTCCTATATTCTTGCAGGTTTGTGTATTAAAGTTTACTTCATAAGTAACTTGGGTTGTATTTTTGTTGTATAAACTTGCAGTTGAAATATCAAATTCTTTCTCAGTTCTCTCAGTGAATGCTTACTACTGTGTCATAAAGTTTTCCTGCTGCTACCAATAACCATTCATTATTAGGATTACACTGATATATCAATTATTTCATGTTATGGTATTATGGTAAGTATTATTAATATTTTCTTTTCACTACTCTGGTCTAATACATTCATCCTTCTGCAGTGGGTTGATTGTGTCTCTCAATTACTACGAATGTATCCCTTTGCTTTTGAATTCTCCTCGGTATGTATCTCTTTTTCATAAACTGCTGGTTGGCATGCGCAGCATGTTGTCATGCTTGTATTATTATACTTTTTCTTATACTAGTTAGTGATTTGTATATCATATGGTGATTCAGGCTTTCCTGGTGGATTTCTTGGATTGTGTGTTTTCATGTCGTTTTGGAAATTTCTTGTGCAATAGGTAAGGCTTGCAGTAATTCTGAAAGGAAGTATTTCACTAAACCTTCCTGTAAACCCATTTTTATGTTTCTTTCACAAGGTCTTTACAAGCCTAGAATTTGTTATTAATATAGAAATAAAGAAACTGCTAGCTATGAAACTTGAAAAAATTCATCTGAAGCTGACTCAGGCTGGCATAGAATTAAAGGAACAAAGACCTTTTCTCCCTTTCCTCTCTTGTTCTTATTTTTCCTTGCTCTTTTTTTTATTACATTTGTTCACTAATTACTAATCTCTTGTAACAGTGAGAAGGAGAGAGAGCTATGTTGTGTCTCAGAATCTTGTGGGTGCTTGTGGATGTATTTGGGTGATATGCGTTCTTTGCAGGGACGCTCACATGCCCATTATAACCTTTTCTATGATCCATCAAAACATAATGACCCACTGTTACCACCAGCAGCAGCTTTGGCCCCTACACTCTGGCCTCAGTTCCATCTTCGTTGGGCATGTCCTTCCGAATCCCAAGCTGGTGAGCTTGAGGCTCAATGTAGGAACATGGCTTTCAAGTTTTCTGAATTACAGAAGGTAATGAATCTTGGAATTTAGGGCAAACACTTTTTCCCTTAAGTTGAAAATATTGTTTTAGATAAGTTGAGGATATGGTTTTAGATAAATTGAATATATTTACTTGGCCTGATGGTCCTTGAGCAGAAAGCTTATGTATTGTTTTCTTTCTAAAAGAGTAGAGAGTAGGGAGGACTCCTCCTTCCATTTATATATGACTATACAAAACTAGATGGCTGTTTAATATGGCCTTAGTTTGTCTCTCATGCCAAAATATAATGTTCTATCATTTTACATTTTACTGCAAAACTTACCGTAGAGGCCTGATTTGAATAGTTGTCTGACAATGCTAACAGGGAAAAGAAGTAGCTGAGAAGAAAGTGAAGGAAATCTCAGTCGCCTTGGAATCGATAACTACAGAATTGCGAAATGAGAAGCAGGTCAGCAGCTCAGCAATGAAATTGGCCAAGAGGGGGAGCAAGGAAAATGCAGCAATAAAACGAGCCATACAGTCATTGGGGTGCAAGGTTCACTTTTCAAGCAGTGGTGATTGTTCTGTTAATGTTGAAAGCAACCCAGCAGACACATCACAGATATTTATGCAGTCTTCTTCAAGAAGAGAATCAGATGGTGCTGTAGAAGGTGATGAGAAATCCGATCTCTCTGTATCAATTACATTCGTGGAAGATGATGATGTTTCAAGCAGTCCCCTTGGTCGAGTGTGTGAGACTTTGTGCCCATTACGTACACGGGATGGAGGCTGCCGGTGGCCAGATGCTGGGTGTGCACAGCTTGGTAGCCAATTTGTAGGATTGAAGGCAGACTTTGATGCGTTTGATCAGCTCTCTATCTATGATAGTTATTTCCTGTCTGAGTGAAAATTTTGGATTTTCAGCATATCAGTTTTTGACGCTAACCATTTTAACCTTCTTCGGCAAGTGCCAACCGGGCCTGTGGCTCAATTGGTTGGCCCCCAAGCTTTAGGGCTTGGGTGAGGCGGAGGTCAGGGCTTTGAGCTCTGTCACCGCCGTGAGCTCCACCAACTTGCGACTTAATGGTCGCGTGCCTCAAATGAGGGGGTGGAACGTTCACTTTCCTGGAAAAATTCCAGCTGTTAACAAACTAACTCTACTAACTTCCTAACCATCTACCTGGTCAAAAAAAAAAAAAAAACCTTCTTCGGCAAGTGAAGGATTTAAAATGCAATTCATAGTTCCTGGAGAATTTCAGGTCTCTTTCGGAAGCAGTGGTGAGCAAGGCATAAGGATGCTGACCCTAACATTTTGGACAGGTCTCGGGATATCTTGTACAGGGTTTATAAGAGTTCTTTCTAGCCTATCTGCTTTAAACATTTTTGCAGACAGAAGAAAAATATTATCGCAGTCGAGCTGATGCATATTCTGTTGCTACAGATTTTTGTACCATTCGTCATATGCTTATGGTATAGATCTTATGACATTTATCATTCTTTTTCCTCCAAATAAAATTCGCTTTACGCATCGAGCCCTACGGGTCAAGTGACATTAATCACCTTACGATGCACTCCCCCTACGGGTCAAGTGACATTAATCACCTTACGATGCACTCCCCGCTCCCTGGGCTTGAGTTCGACCAAACCCCTTGTCAAACCTGTTCAAAAAAAAAAAAAGATTCACTTTACGTAAAGGTTTACAGTTTTATACGATTTTGTATACCACTAATTGCTTTGCTTCTCTCTCTCCCTCTTCTTCTTCTTCTTCTTCTTCCTTTTATTTATTTATTTATTTATTTCTAGGTGCCTCTGGATGGATTATAAAATGGGATGGATAGTCTTCACATTTTTTCTCTACCTGTTCTAAAACTCATATCGGGCATCTTCAACATAAAATATTGAACCCTGCTTGTTAAAAATCACAGATGTAAATAGTCATTTTTTTTTAATGAAATTCATTTAACTAGTGCACTTGGGCGACTTTTGTAATTTACCCAATTGGAAAAGTTGCATCCCTTTTCTTTAACTAGTCATCCAGTCATGTACAGAAACATTTACCCTCAGAAACGGAGAAACTTGTAAGGAATGCTAGCTATATCAGAACTGAGGCACCACTAGAATAACAAGAGCTAATACAGATAGCTGAGTCCCACAATCTCTGGCCTTAATATCTCTTCAATACTTAAAAACAGACGAACAAGTATGGCATATACATTGCAGCCACGCTGCCTTTCCAACCCCTGTTCCTGGTCCATCTAAACCATTTATTGTGTTCACTGCATAATATACAAACCTTCCACTTCCCAAGTTTTTCAAAAGAGCAGCTCCAGGTTAGATGCAAGTTATTGGATACCCTTCAAAGCCAGCACCTTTATTAATTGAAGAAGGTAAAAGATGGTTTCAATTACATTAACTGATCCCTCATGCTTGGTCAATCAAGGTGCCAACTTGTTGTCCACATAATGCTCTCGAAATATTCCCAGGCTCCAGCAAATTAAAGATCACAACTACACAGATCATATATATTTTAGGAAAATAGAGAAGGATCTAAAGTAACAATTGAAAAGTGTAAGAAGAAGAATACAAACCAGGAATCCCATTCTCTTCACAGTATGTAATGGCCATCATGTCCATGGAGGTAGTACCTCTGGAAACCACATCCCTGAAGGATATGTGTTCCAAAGCCACACTGCCATTACCAGAATCACTATCATAGACGCCATCAACATTAGTACCTTTGAGGACTGCGTTGGCATTAACTGCAAAAAAAAAATGTGGATACTGAATCACAATTCTTTCACCAACAAATCCCTTTACAAGAAAGAAAAGAATAATAATGAAATACAGTGGGGGATGAAAGGATAGAAAACAGCATGACTATCATCAAATGAACAGGAATTCCATGAAAATAAAACACAAAAAAATCAAATTAAATGGAGGGCAGTGCTTGTCATACTCTCTGAAGCTCTCAGTGCTGCAGCTGTATCAGTTGTAAAAAGTGGGTTCCCAGTGCCAGCACCGATGCCACCAAATATGACAACTCTTCCCTTTTCAAGATGTCGGATAGCCCGTTGCCTGCTGTATGGTTCAGCAACCTCTGGCAGCACAAATGTACTTTGCACACGAGTCTGAATACCTTGCTTCTCTAAAGCTGATTGAAGCAATATTGAATTCATTACTGTTGCCATCATGCTGGGGAAAAAAAAAAAATCAGAAGTTAACACACTGTCAACAGAAGAAGTAGGAGAGTTCAATAGGTCGTTATTATTATGTTTAAAACCAATAACAAGAAGCTATAGTCATCTGTAGATTTTAGGGAGCAAAACAAAGCAAAGACTCAAAGCACTTCCAGAGTAAAACTAGACCTTTTTTTTTTTCACTTTATTTCCTCCTCTCTTTCAGAACCTCTTAGTCTTCAGTTTAGTAGAATCAAAAGAAAATAACTAAACTAACTTCTTGCCCTCTGGTACAAAATACTCCACTAAAACCCAGGTGGAGACAAACAGTAGGGCATTGAAGAAATAAGTACTTACCCTATTTGGTAAGTGGTAGGTCTATCAAAGCCAGTAGCAGATACCCATGAGTCTCCACAAAAGAAGTTTCGCCCACCAACCACAATTGCTACCTACATGATTAGAAACCAATAAGAAGCTATTGCAAAAAATAAAGAAAAGAAAAGGAGGGGAGTAGAAAAGCATGTAAATGAAGAAAAAGCACCAAAATGAGGGAGCCTGAAATTACCTCCACTCCAAGGCGATGAGCTATTTCTATTTCCTTCGCAATCTGTATTGCTACCTAATAAATAATAACATAGAATTTTCAGTTAACATATAATCTGCATGGCAAATTAGGATCCTGATCTATGAACTACGATAAATTAATAAATTAAGTTTTTCAAATAATGTAACTCACACCTTAGGGTCAATACTTTGGCCATCCCCAGCTAATGCAACACCACTAATTTTGAACACTACTCTCTTCCACTTTATGGTTGGTATTGATTTTGATTTTGGGATATTTTCCAGCATGAAACTGTTAGAAATCGACCTGCCAATAGATATAACACAATTGATCAGATAGCAACACTAGATCCTTAAGCATCAGCTTGTATGAAAACATTCACACGGGAATGACTTCAGCCAAACATGATAAAAAATAGGAACTCACTTGTGGTGTAGACTGGAAAATAGCATAATAAAACAAATGGAAGATGATCTAAACCCAATAATCAAGCCACCTGCTAGTGAACAATTTTTAGGGTGTTTGGATTAATGGTTCAGATGCAATGGATAGGGTATATCTGATATCCAATGGCTACAATAGTTATTGACGTCTGTAATCTCTTATTAGTTCAATAAGTCCAAACCACTAATTTCAATCCTCTCTACCAAACCTGAGGGTAAAATTTTCACTGAAATCAACATAAAAACCACAACTTTAAGTACCTCTTAGCAGTTTGCCTGGGAAGATTGGAAGAACCAACAGCTTTGTCCACAGATTCCACGGCTCTGCTGCTGCTGCTATTACTCCCTGGATTCCCCATGATGGCTTCGATCTGCTTAAACCAATGCCAATGGCTGGTCGCCAGGTTACCGCCAGTCACCCTCTGCAGCTCCACCTTGTAACGTTTCTTCAAATTATCAATCTTGTTCTTACACTGCTCCACGCTCTTCCAGTACTTCTGCTTCTCCTCAGCGCTACCGGAAGCCCCTCCGCACCTCTCACTAACCGCCTCGGCAACCTCCTCCCAGTCCCTTCCGCGCAGATTACTGCGGTTGAGTTGATTAAACTTATCCGTGTAGGCTTCGAGGAGACAGGCGATCGCGGTGTCTGACCATTCCTCGCGATCTTTACGGTAATCGGAGTCATTGGTTTTGAGCTTCTTCGCGCTGCGTTTGGTCGCGGATTTCTCGGGCTCAGCTTCGGAGTTGCCGTTGGAGAAGGTCTGAGGGAAGCTGGAATCGTCGGTGAGAGGGAAGTCCTGCGAGGCCATCGGGGTGACGGTTAGGGTTTGGGATGTTGGAAGCGGAAAGGGAAGGAGATCGACGACGACGTTAGGGTTTAGGTGACGGAGTGAGGTTGGAGTCGGGAAGATGAAGAGAAGGGCGGAGAGATTGGGAATGATTGAGGAAAGGCCGTGACGAGCGGTAACGGTTCCGTCGAAAAGACGAGACGGGAACGGGATCGTTGGCAGTCTTAGAGAGCCGGCGTTAAATGTTAGAGATAACGGATTTCTATTTTTTTAAAACAAATAAAATGTGAGTTAATTTCCATTTTTGTCCTCAAACTTTACCAAAATGTTCAGAGTTGTTTTTGTTTATGTTATTGAATTTTTTTTCTTCACAGTAGTAGTCCTCCATATGATGTAATGCTTCCGGTTTTCATTTCCCCATTTCTAGACTTAGCCTGTTTGAGTTATGCTAAGTTAGATTAAGCCAAGTCCAGTCACTACAGTCATAATTCAAATGAGTTGAGTCAAATAGATTTACATTTTATTTGGATTGAGAAAGTTAGATAAGGAGAAGAGGTGATTGAGGAGGAGAGCACCTTTCCTTATTTGAATAAATCATTTTGATTTAATGGAAGGGAGGAAGATGGAGCAAGATGGAGCTTCATTTTTCAATCTCTCTAATTTAAAAAGATTGAGATGGATTATATTACTTAACTCATTTTTGTTTTTAATTTTTTAAAAAATAAATATATAAACATTTTATTTTAACTATTTATTTAATTAATAAATTTTAAAAATTTTATTATTCTTTAGTTTATTTTTTTATTAAATTATTTAATTAAATAAAAATATTATCTTTCCACTCCTTCACTTTTATCTACCCAAACAAAACTAATATCAACTTTTTTTTTCCCTTCACTTCTCCTCCTCTTTCTTCCCCTCCCCTCCCCTCCCCTCCGCTCCCCTTCTTTTATTTTACAAATTTTTATCCAAACATAGGCTTAAGGAGTCAGAGTATCCCTGTTGTAAACAAATGGATCAGGCTAGATGTTGAGTGAACTTTTTACCCCTAATTTAAGTGAATTGTTCAACCCATGAAAAATTGATTTGTACTTAAAAGAGAATTTTCAATAAAGAGCAGGAACATACAAGTCCATGAACATTGTAGCAAAAGCAAAGCAAGAAGCAATTCAGTAACTGAGATTTTTGCTAAGCATTACCTGCAGTCATGCACAAAGGAGATGATGACATTTAATGATTAAAAGCTATACTAACTGCCAATTCACGTTGTTAACCAAGGAGGAAAGATATGAGACAGGACAGTAACACTGTAGATCCAAGGACTATAGAATTCATTCAATTTGAGAATACTCTTCATCAGCTGGAGATTGATCGTCATCTGATGAATCCTTCTTGTCTCCGCCCTCTTTTCTCTCATTCCATCTTGTCCATACCCACTTCAGTATGAGGAAACCACTGATAACATAAACCTGAAAGAAGATTCACAGTAATTCAATCATCTAAAGCAAGCTAAAGGGAGTTGTGGATGGAAGTTCAAACAGCCATTTTTATGTTTTACACAGACACATCAGGGCAGTTCATGTAGTACTGTAATATCATGGCAAAAGTTTAGAATTCAGTAAATAGGGAGCATCCATTACTAAATTATTTCATTGCATTCTCTCAACAAGCAGGTTGGTAACCCTCTGCCGCTCCTCAATCGTCAAAATCTTGCACTCTCAAAGGGCAAGATATATCATTGCTGAAAATTCTCACAAGTTGAGCAACACGTTTCTTTACAGAGACAAAATCTATGAGAATAAGTGAAATTAACATCCCACTGTTGGCATTTATACATCAGCAACTGGACTTGCAGGAGTTAACTGAGCATGAATGATCATCAAAGTTCTATTGGTTTAAAAACATCCCTACATCAGATAGACAAATTCATACCTCTTCTCATCATTCACCATAATACTACGGCTTCGTCCATCAACTGATCCTATTATAATTGGAATAACAATCACAAGAGATAACACAAAATGCAATTCACCATAAACATACTCCAGGCATCCATCCTATCCTGTGCAATATGATGATAGCATCCATCCTATCCTGTGCAATATGACGATAGCTATGACAATAACCAAATAGGATCTTGATTCTGGATCACCACATAGCAGATAAATTCTTACTAACAAATTCCATTGCACTAGACACCGCTATTGCCAGGATCCATTAAAATCGATTGCAATCGAGTTACAATAAATCTTGGTCTCAATTAATTCATATTGTTGTATGACCAGTGATATGTTTCAAATAATTCTTTAGTTGGAACATATTATTATGTTGTTTACCTTTCGAGTATCAAGCATCTACCACTAATGCGTCTTGAAAATGGCTACTTCTGCTAACAACAAAAATTGTTCAAAACCCTCCAATGAAAAAAGCTTCGAACTTTTAACACTTTTAGTCTCTTTTTGCCATTGGGAATACTCATAATTAAATAAATATAACAAAGTAAAGCCCTTCACTGCATTCTAGTTCAAGGAGTTTTTTTTTTACCCTTTTTTTCTCATTTTCCTCCACTTTCTCGAGCACCAAACAGAAACAGGAAAAAAAATAGGGGAAAATACCTGCCAAAGAACTACAGGGTTGGAGGTCCTCCCGATGCTCTCCTCAGCCTCCATATCCAACGGAGGCGAAGGATTCTGGCGGCTGCCGAAAAACACACGTGCTGGTGGTGGATTTTTCTGGGTTTTCACTTTGTCTTTAACCTCAGCTTCCGGTTTCTTGGGCTCTTGCTTAGAAAAACGGAGTCTCGGAAACAGCCATAGTATCTTTCCGGGACCTGCTTCTGCTTCTTTAACGTCGTCTTTCCTCACAACCTCTCTGTTTTCCGCGGCATCCATTGTTGGCTGTGACAAGTGCGAACCGCTTCTGTAGGCTGCGGCGCCTATTAGTATCAACATCTGCGGAGGAAGAAAATAGATTGTCACGTGCGTAATGCCCATCTGTCACGTGTGACTTTTTATTATGGTTATTTGGCAGTTAACCCCTTCTATTACTTTTATTTTGCAATCACCCCCTTCTGCAAGTCCTCGTCTCCGCCTCGCCTCGGTCTCAGTCGCCACGCCTCGCCTCAGCTCCACAACTATGCACACGGTCAGGAGCCGTCCATGAAAGAGCTTTGCAATCGTATATACATTCTTCTCAGACAAAGACATGAAACGTGTCTCCCTCATAGTTAGGGAGATGAGCATTCTCGTTCTCTTAGTCTTATACATCACGGTACCCATTTCCTGCGCACAGCAAGACCAAACAAATTCGTCAAGGAGAGTGATAGATGTGAAAGGTGGCCCAGAATCGGTGGTATGGGTGGTGCAGCTCTCCGATCTCCATTTCAGTGTCCACCATCCAGACAGAGCCCTTGACTTCAGGAACCTTATCGGCCCTGCTCTCTCCATGATCAACCCGTCTGTTGTCCTCATCACCGGTGATCTCACAGGTCTTCATATTTCCTCTTCTTTTTCTGAATTTAGCTTGATTGGTGTTAGTGAATGTTACATCTTTTATTTTGTGATATGCTGTTCTGTGCATGGGTGGTTTTAGACTGAATGCATATATATGTATTTCATGCTTAAGTTTGTTTTATCTGTGAAATTATCATAGAAACAATTGTGGGTTTATTTTGGATTCCTTCTTTATGTGAAAAGTTGTTAACTTTGATCAACAATTGTGGCATGAAACAGTGGGACAGAATGTTTCCTAGTTGCTTCAAATATTTGATTAAAACAAATTTCTGTATTTTCTTCTGTATAATATCTCTCTCTGTCATTATCTCTTTTGTGTAGGATGTAATTTTACTTGGATTAAGTTATGATGGATGTGTTGAGTTGATTGGAAACTTATATAATTTGTGTGGATTTGCTGGTTTCATCAATTTTTTAATTTTTTTGATTTATAACTCTACACGCACCTATGAGCTTCTATCCTATCAAAGTAGTTAGCATCATAAACAGTATTAGTTTTTTCAATACGTGCCTGCAAAGATTGAGCAACATTATACTCTATCAACCTATCTGTGTCTTCATAGACATGGGTAACGTATTATGGTTTGCTTGAATATTTTATTTTCTTATATAATGATGGATGTGCTAGGTTTATGGTGTTCTGAACCACTTTTAATCATCAGAACGATGACTGGATTGTTCATCTTTTACAATTTGTCTTCACTTACCAAATGGCAAAAGCAAAGACTTGTTAACAATGCAGCAGAATGAGGATGAGTGGGTGGAATACAAGAATGTATTGGACGATGTTATGAAAAGGAGTGGATTTAACAAGAGTATCTTCTATGATCTTAGAGGGAATCATGACAATTTTGGTGTTCCACTGGTTGGGGGTTCTTTTGATTTCTACTCAAAGTATAGCATCAATGGGCAGTTGGGAAGAAATGGGCGTGTCAATAGTGTCACCCTTCAGGTTGCTTGTTCCCCCTTCCCACCCTCCTCTCTCTCTTTCTCAGGCACACACAAAAGATAAATGTTATATGCATTATCTTCTCTAGCAATTGTTTTAGGTGGAGATGTTATGATCTTGGACACAATTTTGTTTTTTTTCCTTCTTTCTACTTACTAATCATGTTCTGTGCCATCAACAGATTGGTGTGCAGAAACATCTGTTTGTGGGGTTGGATAGCACAATGTCTGTTGGTTTATGAGGTCCAACTCATCTTTTTGGACATCCAACTGAGCAGCTATTAACTGAAATAGATGCAGAGCTATCACAATGGAATTTTGAATCATATAAACCAATCAGCAAGATTTCCTTTGGGCATTTCCCTCTCTCGTTCTCAGCATCCTCCCAGTCTGGGAAGAGCTTGGAAGATGTTTTTCTTAAGCAATCTCTTTCAGCTTATCTATGTGGGCATCTTCATACAAGACTTGGAAAGAACTTGAAGAGGCACCACCATTTAAGTCATCATTTTTTATCCTTTCAGAAGTTTTTCCAGTTTAACATACACCAAATACCTTCAGAAAGCCATCAAAATTGTTCTTTTGGAGCCCCTCTAATCGAAGAATTCTGGGAATGGGAGATGGGTGACTGGAGAAAGAGCAGAACCATGCGCATTCTGGCCATTGATAGAGGCCATGTCTCGTTTGTTGATATTGATTTCAAGTCAGGTGCCAAGAAAACTATCATATTGCCAACATTTCCACTGGACTCACGTTTCATGTCAACATCTTCATCTAATCACGACTATGAATGTGAATATATGCTCCCTACATCTTATGAGACAGTGAGAGTGTTGGTGTTTTCTGTTTCTCCAATTGTGTCTGTTGTGGCTAGGATCTTTGATTCAAGATCTGGACATTTTGATATTGTCATGGAAGCACCAATGAGCAAGCATGAAGACAGTGCCTCTAGGGGGGATCTTTATACAGTTCCATGGAATTATAAAGCCTTCGAGGACCCATCTGCTGATCGATTCTGGCTCCAAATTGAAGCAACTGACGTCATGGGCAGAACAACATTGACAGAACTAAGACCTTTCTCTGTTAATGGTATTGGTGCCAGACTTGCATGGGCATGGAAGGAATTTTTTGTCATGGGTTGTCAGTGGGCTGCCTTGTATTACCCAATTCTTTGGTCGCTTTTATTTGTACTACTCTTGCTTCTTCTTATTCCAAAAGCTCTTCTCCTTTTTTCAAGGAAGCAATATACGTTCAAGAATTTTATTGCTGAGAAAGACTTCATAAATGCCATAGTCTGGCTTTTGCAAGAGCTCTGCAGGTTTCCAATGTTTTGGTTTGGCTTTTTGGGATACTTGTTCCACCTTATATTGTTTCCTTGGTTGATTGGAAAAGTTTATACTGAGAGTGAGGATGGGGGATACATGACCTACATGGGATGGGTGGTGAAGTCCTCTCGTGGCTGGGAAAAGCATGATTATGTTGGACCTCCAGATATTATGGTGACTGTTCTTCCCCATCTTCTTTTCGTTGTTTTACCTGCTCTGTTAGTCACAGCGGCTTTGATTGTCGAGAAAGGAGCCCACAGACATCATTTTCTATCATGTTCAGCCAGGAAAGAAGATGACTATGACAGTCAAAATAAGGGTTCCATCAAATATGATTATGAAAGCAGTAAAAGATCAAAGTTCCATTTTCGTGAGCGATGGATCTGGAAAGTTCTCTTGGTTCTTTGCATGGCTATTTGTTGGAGGCATTTCAAGGTAAGCGTGTTAATAGTCATTTTATTAGGAACATGAATTGAATTAGTATTTGTTGCACTTTTTCTCATCTTATTCTCATTTCACCGAGAAATTTTTTTGAAAGAATTCCTAAAACACTCATAATTTTTTCAAACGTGGTTGCATAAGCCCTCAATACTATGTATTAGTTTCTCTTACTCAAATTGGTTGCTTTTTTGTTTTTTATTCTACAGAATTGCATAGCTCTCATGAAAGCTTATGAGATGAACCCATTACATTTTCCCGGATATAGCCTTGGAATTGCGTTGTTGTTATCTTATGCCATCTACAACACTCAGAGGGCTTAACCAGAGAATTGTTGGCTCACTCACTCTTCTCCAAGTTTGCTCGAACCATTCTGGAAGCAACTTTGCATACTTTGCTGATTGGCATAAACTCTCTAATCTGCAGAGAGTGATGATTGAAGCACCACTTTCAGATTGATACAGAAGAGAATTTCCCAAGGTGATTTCTGGGGAACCAATTGAAAACTGTGTTAGTATGAAGGCTCATTCCAAATGGAGTTGTAGGTTATTTGGAGCCTCCTCCCATGTCTCGATGACAATTTTGCTCTTTGTACCACATAAACGAAGACAAACTCTAGTTACAAATATCAGTGGGTTGAGATTGGTGCATGATGAAATTGGTGGTGTGCTTGTATAACTATGGAGCCTTGATGAAAATATAGCATGTTGACCAAAAACATTGCTTTGATCATTATCTGTTTGTATCTAACAACTTCTTTTGTAAGCAATTTTGCCTTTGCATCCCCCGAAGTATATCCTATCTCATCGAGTTTACCTTTGAACTTGTCCTATAGGCCTATACAAAATTATTATTATTATTATCATTTTTTTATGTTTACCAATATAAAACAATTACTGACTCATATTTTATAAAATAATTTACCAACAATATTTTTTATGTGATAATGTAATTAA